CCTGGCCCCTCCGGGCCCCGGCGCCCTCCCAGGCCAAGCGGGGAGGGGGCGGCCGCCCCCCGCTCCCTGCCCAGGTGGGTGGCAGCGACAGCTGGTGTTGTTCCAGCAGGTTGGCGAGCGCCCCCCCCACCTCCGGGGGCTCCTGGCTCCTATCAGCCCATCAGCGCAGGCAGCGGTTCGCATGGAGACCCGCTGCTGCCCTGGGTCAATATTTGCTCTGAGCAAACACAGAGCCCGGTGACAGGTGCAGGCAGAAGCGCTGCGCCCACAGCCCAGCCCCTGGGCTCCGGCGCCCGCGCGCCCGGCCCGGCCCAGCCCAGCCCAGCCCAGGCCAGGCCCCAGCCCCTGCCCCTGCCCCTGCCGGCTGGCGCTATTTATACCGGGCCTATAAAAGCCCCCCCGCGCAGCCGCCGCGCTCACTCCCTGCTCAGGAGCTGCCGGGGAAGGTGAGTGACTTACCTGGCACCTGCTGACGTGGCCCTGCCGGCTGCATGGCCTGGGCACCCAGCCCTGGGACTTGGGCCCCGGATCCCCCAGCTCCCCCGGGGCAGGGAGATCCCTGGAGCTGCCCCTCGGGCACGGGGACCCCTGGTCCCTGATTCCTCTGGGTCCCCCCCGGGAGCATCTGCTGGCTGCACCCCGCTGCGCTCGGGACCCTCTGCATCCAGGGGGGCATTTTCCCTGCCAGTGCCCGCACCCCTGGGTGCCCGGGGACAGGGCAGAAGCCTGGAAGCCCCCTCCCCTCCTTCCCTCCCCTCCTGCCCCGGCCCAGCTCACCTCGCCCTGCTCCCTTTGCTTTTCCCAGGACCCAGGAGGAACCGGAGGCGACACCTGCTCCAGCCCGGAGGCGGGCGGCGGGGGTCTGCCGGCCGCCCTCTGCGCCTGCCTGGCGTCGAGCCCGACGTGCAAGACCTGACGTGAATGTTTTGTTCGTTCGGCTCGCGTTAGGCAGGCCCAGCCTGTCTGCACCCCGTCACACGCGTGTGCCGCGCGCCCAGCTCACGCCGGCACCCGTGGACCCCTGCGTGGCCAGGCCCCTGCCTGCAGCCCTGGTGTGACCCTCGCAGAGTAGAAACACCCCAGGCAGCGGACACGTGTGCAACAGGCGTGTGACACGCCAGCACCTGGGGACCCTGGTGTCATCTGACCCCTGCCTGCAGCCCCCGTACCCAGCTTATGCGTGACCCCTGCCGGGTAGAAACACCCCAGGTGCGGCAGGAAGCAGGCACATGTGCCACAGGCGTGTGACACACCGCAGCCGTGTGCAGGGGATGGGGAAGGCCGCAGCCCCTTCTCCGTGTGCCCGCTCCGAAGCTGGGCAGGGTGGGGTGTGGGGGACCGGGCACCAGCTGGGATGGCAGGGGCAGGGCTTTTGGGGGGTTAACCCCTCGCCGCCTGCACTTGCTGCTCCCACAGCCCTGGACATGGAGCAGCCCCGAGGGGGGGTGGCATGGAGCCGGCTCCGTGCCCCCATGTCAGCTGCGCCCCTTTGTCCTGCCGCAGAGACAGGCCTCGCTCCCCGTCCCGTTGGCCCGGCTGGACCTGCAGCCCCGGGACCCCCCCAGCTCCTCCGAGCTTTGCATGGGGGGGAGGGGGAAGGGCAGACGGGAGGCAGCTGCAGCTTTCCCAGCCCAGCCCCGCTCGGAGCCGCAGCCCGGGGCGCAGGCCCCGATCCCTGCCAGGAGCCGCTCAGGGGTGGCAGCTGCGCTGGGGGGGTCTCATCTCATCTGTCTTGTCTTGGGGAAGCTGAGCCCCCCAGCACCTCTCCTGGGCAGCTCCAGCCACCCCCAGCAAGGCCTGAGGGGGTGCTGACCAGGCTGGGGGGCCGTGGCTCAGGCAACCTGGGCCCCCCACCCACATCTCGCCTGCACCAGGAGTCCAGCTGCCTCCGCAGCCAAGTGAAGCAAACACAAGCACAAGCACAAGCACAACACTCGGGTCGGGGTCCAGGCTCCCCCAGCTCCGGCTGTAACCCAGACCCCAATAAACAGCGCCGATGGCCCCAGCCCTGCACCTCCATCTGCGTACAGCCGGGCTCCCCGGGGTGGGAGTGGGTAGCATAGGGGCTGGGTGACACACCCGAAGCCATTCAGGGGGGCAGTGGCAGGGCCTGATGTAGAGCCCGGGTGTCCCCTAGCACCAGCCCATCGACCAAGGCACCAGGAGGCATCTCCCCCTGACCTCGCCCCACAAGAGGGACTGGGGTTGTCCCCCCAGCCAAGGATGCTG